ATTGCCAGGTAAATACCAAACTGCAGGTACATGTAGTTCCAAATTTAAAATAATTGCACTTTTCATCTTCCAGTCTTTGAAAGGCAGATAATCGTAAGGGTGCGTTAAAAACTTCAAAAACACCCATTAAAATAAAACGTCTCCACGTTATATTCAAAGAGAAAAGGTGGTGTTTTAATCCATCGCGTTTTCAGGAGGTCTGCGGCCTATTGCTTCTCGACACAGTTTCGAGAGAAATGGTGAGTCTATGTCTATTGCCTATTTCGTTTTGACAGACGATTTTGATAAAGCAGTGTGAAAGATACTGCTTTTCCTGGACGGTAGCCATCCCCAATCTACTATCAATTGTTCCACAATGAATTTAAGACAAAAAGCTACCGTCCTACTTGAATAAGTAATAAACAAACGCTAATTCAAGCTACTTAACCGTATTTGCTACTCTGAGTTGTGGCGTCAGTCTACTCACTGTTCAACTTTCAAACGCCCCCAGCCCTGTATGTACCGTCCGTGAGTCCGTGCTGTCTCACAGACTGTTTGATTTTTTTACACGGAGCACTCTTGCAGCACAGAAATGCCTTGAATAAGTCAGTCAACTAACCGATCCGCCAACAACACGGACAATGAATAGGGCATCTCTGGCTCTTGTTGAAGAAAATCAGCATTCCATTGTCTCGCTTTCATCCACTGAAGTCTGCAAATTGCATTTAATAAATTACTTTCTTCTACTTAGTAAACAACGTTTTGGTTTTGGGGTTTTTTAACCCCCAAGCCATAAGGCATTGAAAGTTACATACTACAGCTTAACATTGCAATGAGTATGGCGCATTCCATATTCAATGTAATGGGCAGAAGGGAATGAATGAAAGCCGACAACGACATTAATAATTAATTAACACAGGCAAACCAGTCTACTAGAAGGGAGTGGGGTGGATAAAAAAAGGGGGAGGGATAGGGGGCGTGGGGAGAACAAACGATAGAATGGTGGAAAATAATTTACAAAACATGCCCCCCTGTATAAAAAAAAACAAGTATCGTTTATGTTGGTAGTTGAGAATCAAACGAAGTTGTTACCACAATCTGTGTTTTGAAGTGAGTGATTTTGTTAAGATGTTGTGCGTCATGTATATTCGTAGTGAGAATGTGAGAGCAGTGTTTCTGATTCTGTAATCAAAGTGGCTGATGTTTCGGGTTTTAGAGTGTTCTTCGTTTTGATGAATCATTACTAAACTAGTATGATCCACAAGTATCGACTTCCAAGAAGCTATCTCCTATGGCAATAGTAACTTTCGGTAATGCCTTGCAGCCATTTAGTCCCCTGCTCTCGTTCTGTAGCCTTATCAATACGTAATGAAGAGTATGCACTGACGTTCGTAATACAAGGGAGTGACGAAACCTGCATGCATGCTAAATATTTTAAAACAGTGCTGAGTGTGAGAATAGATGAATGTTATACGTTGTAATAAATATAATATGATTGTAACAAACATATTCTAAAACAAAAATGGAACAGTGTACAGTTCAACTTTTGTTATCGTTCACATTAAGGTTTGTGAAGCGCTTTGTTTAAACAAAGTTGAATTATTTTACTGTTAAAAAGACAAATTATCGGTGAAGAATGTGTCTGAACAGCAAGATAGCTGCTTTATTTAAAGGTGAACATAATGGTGAAACTGGTAATATATTTGTTTTTCTCCTGGCACTTAACACTTTAATTCACTGAGCCTTTCATAACAATACAAAGAATAAAGTAAATCATTCCCTCAAGCATGCATACTCCACAGGTGTCTAACATGGATATATGGCATAGCAGTCACAACTACAGTTTAGAAACCAAACCACAGTCTAGAAACCTAACCATAGCTTAGAAACAAAACCACAGTTTAGAAACCAAACCATAGCTTAGAAACAAAACCACAGTCTAGACACTAAACCATAGTTTAAAAACCAAACCATAACTTAGAAACCAAACCACAGTCTAAAAACCGAACTACGGCATAGCAATCAAACCATGCAGGGGTCTGACTCCACGTTTGACCTGGATTACCTGCACACCGGTAATGGACGCTGAGTGGCCCAGATAGGACCTGTCAAGAGTCCCTGTCCTGGACTCGAACCTGCGGCATGCACCGTCCCCGCAGGCGGTGTACACTGACGTCAGCCAACAGAACAGGGTTAGTCACAAGCTACATGGCAGGGGTTAATGAATATTTATACAGGTACATCACCAATTTTTCCGGCAAACAACACTCTGTCTGTTACCTTAAGATTGAAAACAAGCAAGACACAGTTTCGGGTATTTCTATGAAAGAAAGAGGCCACGGTCCTCTTTACCTTTCTATTGGGTTTCAAGAAACATTTTTCTCTTTATCAACGGGTTAAAAAAACATGTTCTTCATTTATCGGTTTTCATGAAACATTTCCTTCTTCAATTATAGGTTTTCCGAAGACATTTTGCTCTTCATCAATCGGCATCCAAAAAATGTGTTCCTCTTCATTGGTTTGATTTTAAAGGACAATGTTGCACTTCAATCATTTCAGCTGATCTTCAATTCTCTTTATGATAAGCCGTCTCAATCAGGTCATAAGAAAATAAAACCTGACAATTACGCCAAGCTGAACACCAATACGAAATAATTAAATTATAGCCGACTGTGTCAAGGTTTGGTAATTTAAAAGTCCATTTGTTGGTTCAACAAACTCGTGCTTCCCAGTTGCTTCCAAAAGAAAAACCAGTCCTAAACCACCAGGGAAATATGAGGAGGATACTTGTAACAACGGCGTCAGAAAATAGCAGTGGATTTCATTATATTATTATGACCTCTCTTGGTCTTGTAGGATGGAACAGCTCGACAATTTTAGGAGCTATGGATGCCGAATAATCAGTGATATATCTGCACTTAAAGTAAGTAAGCTACACATGTAAAGCGAATATAACGTCCAAAAAAGGAAAGCATGTAGTTGTTAATTGGTGCAGAATACATCTACTGTTACACTGGTTTGGACAACTCAATAGACATGTGAAGCAAAACAAAGTAAACACAAAAAGATGGAGATATGTTATTGGCACCACACACAGTAAATCACACACACACACACACACACACACACACACACACACACACACACACACATACACATACATACACACATATTCATACACACTAACACACAAACACATACTCACAAATACACTCAAACACACACACACACACACACACACACACACACACACACTGCCAAAACGACGAAGTTATGCACAACAGTGAGAAATATTACAACAGAAAGATTAACCACACATAAAAGGTAAGTCGTAGTAGGCTACATAATAGCATGGTGCTCAGTTCAGCTTCCGAAAAAAAAATCCTAAAACAGAGAAAGAGAAACTTGTTAAAAATATTTTAAAATAATGTTTTACGATAGTTAACATAAACCATGTTTAATGCAAAAACGTGTAGAGCATTGCAATTTTGACCAGATCGAAATAGATCAACCCTCCCCCCCCCCCCCCCAAAAAAGAAAAAAAACAACCCCACTGGTCTGGAAAGGAGTTTGAGGTCGACAAAGAATTCGTGGTCAGTTCACTGGAAAGCTCAGTGTGCATAAGTAGTGAGAGAAAATGTCGGAGAACACACCTGAAAGCATCAAACGTTGAAAGCGGTAAATGGAACATGAAGAAGTGGCATTCGTCTGCAAAGATTTGTTAGTAAATATATTGACTTGTACACCGTGTGCAGAAGCAGTAGGAGTATTGTGAAAAGGGGAAATGTGGAGGGGTTAGTCAAAACATACATCTGGGTTCAGAGAAAGCGTACTGGTTCACTAAAAAATTGTTAGTACATGAAAGGAATGTTAGCACGGTCCGGTCATTGTGCAGAAGCAGAAAGAGTAGAGTGACAAGGAAACACATCTGTAGAGACAATAAAAGCAAGAGAGTATCATCGTTGGTAAGGTGTTGCAGTAAATTCGGAAATTCAATGACAACATTCTGCAAGTAAGAAAAATAGTGGGGAATCACAAAGAAATGTCGGAATGCCTAAGTAGCTACGCGTATACCGCGTCACTGAAAGAGAAACAACAAAGCAACAATAATAATAATATAGGCTAATTTCTGTACCTAACACGATGGGCATATTTTTTTATTCAACGCGAAATTTTGAAGAAAAATAAGATTTCTGGATTGACCACCAACGAAACAATTAACAACATTACGAGCACAATAAATCTGTAAGGAGGATGAGCGGGGGGCTCTAGGAACTAATGTGGAAGAAGCGGGAAGTCTGGGAGAGGACTCTCTATCACTACATGGTGGCTGGCTAAATGTACACGACGCTCTTGGTGTGCAGTAGGCATAGACTTGTATCATAATATTCTAGACCAGGTACTCTGACATAATTCAATTCACATGATGTACAATGATGTTTTGGGAACACCTGAATAGCCATAAAGGTCTTGAACATCTAGGGCTCACTGGCAAAATTGAAGGCAAACGAGGAAGGGGTAGGCCCTGAGCAACCTACTTAGGGGACCTAAATAAATTGGTAAAAGGAAAAGATCAGGGTAACGTAGTTTTTTTAAGAGCATTGGAGCAAATGAACGAATGGAGAACCATGATCGCCGATGTCTGCCGCAGATCTGACATTGGATGATGATGATGATGTACACAATTTGATTTAACTTGGAGCTAACTGAAGGGCAAATCAAAGAAAGGTGCCTTCCGCATTTGATTTTAGCCAAATTGATGTTTTCCCCTTTATTTAGGCGCCCATGGTGCTCACGTTTCTCACAGAACTTTAAAAAATTAATATAGTAAACTAAGACCGGCTGCGTGGTCTAAGCTATTATAACTCAAGTCTGTGGCCAGTAAGACAGCTGAAGTCTGTGCAGAAACGACACGCCAACAAGAGAGACATTGAGAGAGAAACGATAAGACCCGGAGGGGAGAGACTGAAAGCGGATCCACTCAAAGATGTGACCCAATGGCATGGGTCAAGGAGGGTCACCTGCATGGCAGTGACTGTGGTGCTATGTCCCTTCATGGTGCGTCGGACGGTGCCCGTCTTGGCGTCAAACACACGAACTGATGCATCACCACAAGCAGTGAACACTGAAACGAATACGTCATTATTCAACTTTTCGGTCAATAGCTATCAATAATAGTTTTGTGATATATTATTTGATTTCACCCTGTGAAATAGATAAAGGTTATCTTTGTCATTGTCATTGTCATTGTCGTTATCAAAGTGATGAGAATAAATGATAACAGGTCTTGATAGTGATTTCCTTTATACACAGCGCCAGATATCTGCGGTGTAGATCCCTTGGCCATCTCAAACTTCGGCTGTGAAGAAAGAAATTATCAGTGCCGCAACAAAATAACAACAAAAATAATAACTTCAACGAGAGACACAGATCGACACTTATGCCAAGGAGCAAAAGTATCTTCTAAAGGACTGGTGCCAGCCACCCCTGTCTTACAAATAAATGAACAGAAAATAACCAACCAAAATGTAGAATAAAAACTAAACGACATAAAGGGAAAAAAAGAAAAAAAAGTACCCTTGAAACAAAGGATAATATTCCCCCCCTTTACCCCCCC